GTGTGAGGGGTGTGCCGAAATGGGTGGTGGTGGGGAGGCATGCGGACCCTGCCACTGGGGCCTTCGGTGGAGCTCCCTATGGGGCCACGAAACGTGTGAGGGGTGTGCCGAAATGGGTGGTGGGGAGGCATGCGGACCCTGCCACTGGGGCCTTCGGTGGAGCTCCCTATGGGGCCACGAAACGTGTGAGGGGTGTGCCGAAATGGGTGTGGGGAGGCATGCGGACCCTGCCACTGGGGCCTTCGGTGGAGCTCCCTATGGGGCCACGAAACAGGGGTGTGCCGAAACGGTGTGAGCTCTATGGGGCCACGAAACGTGTGAGGGGTGTGCCCGATGATGATGATGATGATGATGATGATGATGATGATGATGATGATGATGATGATGATGATGATGATGATGATGATGATGATGATGATGATGATGATGATGATGATGATGATGATGATGATGATGATGATGATGATGATGATGATGATGATGATGATGATGATGATGATGATGATGATGATGATGATGATGATGATGATGATGATGATGATGATGATGATGATGATGGGAGGAGGGAGGGGGGGGAGGAGGAGGAGGTGAGGAACGCGGGGCGCCGTCTCTTCAAAACGAGGACCCAACACCACAGGATGGTTGGGAAAAACACTGATTGTTGCATGTCGCGGCGCTCTTGGGAGTCTTGTGGGGCCGCTTGGGAGTCGTCCTCGGGCGCCTTGGGCCGTCGGCAGGCTATGAAAAGTGTTTCAGCCGATCGTTCGGCGCGCGGGCGGCCGTTCCAAAGGTGCCCCGGGGGCGGGGAGGACCGTCGAAACAGGTATGGCGTGTGTGGACCATCCAGGGAGGGATTTTCCATGCAGGATGTATGAGTATAGGGGTATGTTTGTATATACACATACATATATATATATGTGCATATATAAATATGTTTGTATGCACATACGTACATACATACATACAGACATACCTACATACATACATGCATGCATGCATACATACATACATACATGCATACATATATACAAACGTACATGCATGCATGCATGAATGCATGCATGCATGCATATATACATACATACATACATACATACATACATACATACATACAAACATACATACATACATACATACATACATACATACATACACACACACATACATACATACATACATACATACATACATACATACATACATACATACATACATACATACATACATACATACATACATACATATATAAAGTCATGCATACATACATACATACATACATGCATGCATGCATACATATATACATACATGCATACATGAATACATACATACAAACATACCATACATACGTACGCACATACATATATACATAGATGCATACATGCATACATGCATGCATGCATGCATGCATACATACATACATGCATCCATACATACATTCACTCATTCAGACATTCATACATTCATACATTTATACATTCATACATACATACATACATACGAAAGAGCGCGTTCTGCGGTCGCTTGGAGGGGAGGGGGGGAACCTCCCCCCCACACCTCCCCCCCGCCCCTGGATGTAGTGGGGGGGGGTTCGACCCCACGAACCCCCCCTCCTCCCCTTTTTCTCCTCTCTCCCTCTCCTCGGGCCGGCGCCTGCGTCGGCGGCGGCTGGCGGCGGCGGCGGGGTGGACGACGATTTCCTTTTCTGGGCCAGCGCCGGCGCCTGCGGCGGCGGGCGGCGGCGGTGGGGAGCGTCGACGAGGACGACGGTGGTGACGGTGGTGGTGGTTGTGGTGGTGTGGTGTGGTGGTTGTGGTGGTGCTGGCTTGGTGCTGGTGTGGTGGTGGTTTGTGGTGGTGATGGTGGTGGTGGTGGGTTGTGGTGGTGGTGGTGGTTTGGTGCTGGTGTGGTGGTGTTTTGTTGGTGGTGGTGGTGGTGGTGGTGGGTTGTGGTGGTGGCGGTGGTTTGTGGAGGTGGTCCTGGTGGTGGTGGTGGTGGTGGTGTCGGTGGTGGTGGTGGTGTGGTGGTTTGTGGTGGTGGTGGTGGGTTGGGCTGCTGGTAGTGGTGGTGGTTGTGGCGGTGGTGGTGGTGGTGGTGTGGTAGATTGTGGTGGTGGTGGTGGTGTGGTAGTTTGTGGTGGCGGTGGTGGTAGTCGTGGTGGGTGTTTGTGGTGGTGCTGGTGGTGGTGATGGTGAGTTGTGGTGGTGGTGGTTGTGGTGGTGGTGGCTGTGGTGGTGGTGGTGGTTGTGTGGTGGGGTTGGTGGTGGTGATGGGTTGAGGCGGTGGGGGTGGTGGTAGTGGTGGTGGTGGTCGTAGCGGTGGTAATCGTCGCTGCGTCCCCGCCGTCGCCGGCGCCAGCGCCGGCGCTGCTGGCCGCCGCCAGCGCTGGTGCCAGCGCCCGGGGGGGGGGTTTGAACCCCCCCCCCGTAGGCTGCCTCTGGTCATCGTCGCTGCGTCCCCGCCGTCGGCGCTGCTGGCGGCCGCCAGCGCCGGCGCCGGCGCCGGCGCCGGCGCAGGGGGGGGAGGGGATCCGGGAGGGGGGGTTTTGAGGGGGAGGGGAGTCCCCCTGGTTTTGATCGACGGCGCCGAGTGTTTGGGGGGGGCCCCCCCCCCGGTTCGAAACGCGCAGCCGAATGTTCCCAAGGCAAGCGCCCGTGAAACGAGCTCTCTCTTACATACAGACATCCATACATCCATGCATCCATACATATATACATAGATCTAGAAGCGGAGCCCCAGTCTCCGGGTGGAGAGGGTGGGGGGGCGCGTCTTCGCAGCGCTCCCTTCTAGAATTTGTCTGGGCCCGCGCGTTCCCCTCCAGACTTCAAACCGTCGTTCCAGGCCCAGGGGGGGGGCAAATTTTCGTCCAGGGGATGTAGACGGACACTCCTCGTCAAGAGTCTAACTCGCAATTTAGTCCATTGACTGTATGCGCCCACGAGGCGGCACGGGCGGCAATGAGGCGCAACTTCGGGAAGCCTGTCAGCGCACGGGACCACCAGGCGCCCACCAGGCGGCACAGGCGACATCGTGGTGCAACCTCGGCCGACCCTCAGAGCGCTGAGCGCCCGTGAGACGCCCACGAGGCGGCACGGCCGGCGACGCGGCGCAACCTCGGCATATCCCCCAAGCGCGGGGCGCCCACATGGCGGCACGGGCGGCAACGTGGCGAAAACCTGGAATAACCAACAAGTCTCACAACAAAGCAAATTAAGACCCCCTAGTTGCAAGCATTGTTTGGGGAATGCGATGCACTTATAAGGGGCCCCCGCATCGAATAGTTTCCAACGCGCGGCCCCAAGCGTCCAGACCCTGTCTCCGTGGGTAGTCATCCGTTTTTGATGGTCCCGGGGCCTGGTAAGTAGCCCTGGAGGCCGAAGTTGAGGAAAACCTCCTCGACTGAAGAAAACATATCGCCCGAGATCTGGGACAAATCAACGCCTTTTTCCTTTTCCAGAGTTCTTCGGGGTCCACCCGAGGTATCCGCACGTCCCTGGGAACCTTCGGATGTCCCCGTAGATCCCCCGAGGCCTCCGCAGATGTATGCTGCCAAAGACGCCCAATAGCACCGAACCGATTGGCCAGAGGAAGCCCTCCTTCCATCCGCAGCCGCTGGCAGACGTTCCATACGCATCCGATGGCCACTCCGCTGGTGTATCTGCCACTGCCAACACTCGGCTTGCATCGGTCCCTATCTTGTCTTGCCTTGCCCCCCCTCCTGCCATGCCTCCCGGCGACGGGGCAGGACTGCATCTGGGAGTTTTACTTCCGGTGAGATCCGCGGCCGCGCCTCGAAGTGGTATGGGGGAGCCGGGCGCCAGCGCGCGGGGAGTCGGTGGCGCGTGGCACTAGTCGGCGGCCGCCGGGCATCCATCGATCTGGCAGTGCCGACGAGGACGGACGACGACGGCGGCGGCGGCGACGTCACCGCCGATGAAGACGGCGAGTGCGACGACGGGCGACGTCGGCAGGCCTTCCTGGGCCCTCGTCGTCTCCTACCCCTCCTCCCCCTCGGTCAAGTTTGGTCGGTGTGCCGATGTTTTGCAACTCTGGCCAGCCTGTAATCTCTCACAGGATACCCGCGTTAGGAGGCAGGAGCCTCCCCCTGCTGCTCCGAATTCTCGGCACCCGTGGCATTGGCCGGGGCATCATTGGCAGTGCAAGCATTGTCCGGGTGTGACGCGGGACGTCTGGCACCCAAACGGAGTTTGCCTGATAATCCGCAACGCATATGAGGCTATGTTCACGCCCAGGCACAAGAGTATTGTTCCGTCGTGCTTGGGTGGCAGTTGTACGTGGGTGTGTCACACATGCAAGTCCTTTTTCCTGTGCTGGTGATGCGAGGTATCTCAGCCAAGCCTGTCCCGGGGGGCCGCACAACCTCAGGATTTCGACTTACTACTGGAGGGTGCTGTCGCTGGCCAGCACCCAAATCTAGACGGAGTCTGCCCGGATGTAGGACCTTGAAAAACGTTTGCGGATGTAGGATTTTGTCTCCGGAGGATGCCTGGAGTCTGCGTTTTGCTGTTGTTTGAACCAGCCGCTCGCCGTTCCCAGCCTCCTGGTTCACCACGGGGGGATGACCTCGTCGTGTGGCTCAGTTTGCCCGCTTTTACGATAGGAATCGTATCTGCCTACGGGACAACGGAAGTGCCGTGCTCAAGGCCCCCTGTTTTCTACACAGCAGACTCACCTTCCTGCTAGAGCAGTGTAGCGGCAACAAACAGAAGTCCCTCCCCCCTCATCACCCCCTCCCTCCCGTCCCCCCTCCCCTCCCTTCACTCATCATCCACGCCCTCGCCCCCCCGCTCCTCCCTTGAATCGTCATCCCCGTCTCCCTCTTCCTTCCCCCCTCCCCTCCCTTCGCTCATCGTCCTCCCCCTCGCTGCCCCCCACCCCGTCCCGCCCTCCTGGCCCTCCCGCCCACCAGGAGCAGGACCTCAACCCCGAGGACCCGCCCCGTCCCGCCACCCCCGGGGGCGCTCCCTTCGGCTCGCAAGGCCCGGCCGCCCCCCCCCCCCCGCGGGCTCGCGGGCGTGAGCGCACGCGGCGCCTGGCGGGGATGGGCAAGCCCGCGGTGCGCGGCGCTGCCCGCGCCCCAGGCCCCGAGCCTTCTCGCCGTCGCCGTCTCTGCCGCTTCCGCCGTCGCCTCTTGCCGTCGTCGCCGTGGCCGCCGCCGCCGCCGCCGCCGCAGCTTCCGCCCTCGCCGTGGCCATCGCCGTGGTCGACGCTGGCCAGGTCGGCCTCGGGCCCGTCGTCGTCGGCACCTTCTCCTTCGCCTTCGCGTACAGACATCCAGCCTCGCGCCTTCAGGCGGCACTGGCGCTTTCGTGGCATGGGTCCCCGGAGCTCTCGACCCTTTCATCCTTGGTCGTTTTGGAGGGCTCTGGGGCCCGGAATGGGCTGAAGGCACGCACGTCGTGCCCTTTGTTCCTCCTGACGCCAGCCTCCGGAGGTCCCGACGCTGGGTCCCAACAGAGGTCCCCTGGGGCTTCTGGAGGCCCCCAGTGCCTCCCAAGAGCTCCGATCACGCTGGCAATCATTGCTGATACCCACCCGAACCTCCACGAACCTCCACCCTGGATCCTCGATCCCCGGTGTCATGGGGTTGTCGGCCGCGCGCTCCACGGCGAGGCCGCCTGCCCTGGCCTCGAGCAGAGGTGCTGAGCATGCTCGCAGACCTCGATCTGCGGCGGAGGTCGCCGCGTGCCCACGGGCGGGTCCGCGGCCACCAGCAGGCGCGGCAGTCGCGATGTCAGACATCGAGCTTCGATCCTGGAGCACCTCCGACGTCGTGATTTTTTCGCAGCGCGACCGCCCAGTCTGGGCGGTCGCCCATCCCGGGGACCTCTAAGAGGTCGTCCCCGGGACCAGTTTTTCGTGCCGAGCCGTCCTCTGAGAGCCCCATGGGCCCCGCAAGGGCCGCCCACGGTGGGCAAGAGCCCCCGCCGGCACAGCTGTGCACCACGAAACGAGGTCCTCGCCAGGGGCTGCTGGGGTGCGTTCTCGTGGGCGACGCTTCGCCGGAGTGGCTCTTTGGTGTGCGGCTTTCGGGGGGGAGGGGGGGGCGGCGCGGAAGGGGGGGGGGGGGCAGACCCGAGCGCGCAGGCCGCTGCTATGTCGCACCGCGTGGAGCGATCAGCACGCCGCGCATCAGAGGCCACGCTTGCGCTTGGCCGAGCCTCGGTCTTCGATCCTCGATCTTGGATCCTCGATCTCTAAGAAGCGCGCGGGAGCAGCGTCTGGCCACCACGCTGCTCACCTATGCGCCGCCCAGCTCAGGCGGAGCTGCCCTACACGGCTGGCTCTGTTCCTCCGCCTCTGGCCCCTCGGTCTACCTATCCCGCTCTTCCTCATGGGAGCTGGCTCACGAACACCTTCGACCCTCGATCCTCGGTCTTGGACCCCCGATCCTGGCCCTTGACCCTCGACCTTCGATCCTCGACCCTGGGCCCTCGATCCTCGACCTTCGACCCTTGACCTCCGAATCTCGACCCTGGACCCTCTGACCCTCCGTCCCCGCCAGAGGCCGCCGCGTGCTCGGGAGCCAGGCGGCCCGCCCCCGCCGCCAGTGCCCCGCGCCTCTGCGGCGGAGGGCCGCCGCTCTGCTGCCCGCGCTCCACCGGCACACGCGGGGGAGGCCGCGCGCGCCCCGCGGGGGGCCCGCGGCGATCCGATCGCCGCGATCCGATGCCACTTTTCCTCGGAGGAGGACAAGGTGCCCATGCTAGATGGATTTGGAGGGATTGTGCAACTGGGGGTTGCGAGAGAGAGTTGTGCAAGGCTGTGCGAGGGGGTCGTGCGGGGGTTGTGCAAGCTTTTTGTTTGGTACCTCTTTCTTTCCATGTCATGTAGTGCCGCTACCCTTCCCTCGATTTCCCGTGTGTGGGCCTCCTGGGAGGCCCCCGTCGCCACCGCAGGCTTCGCCGCGAAGTTTTGGTCAGAAGGCACCTTGGGAGGGATCCAGGGAGTAGCGGTATCGATACCTTTTGGTTTACCCAATTACAGCCGTCCCAGTCCAATTTGATTTCAGCGGGCTGACGATCCGATGCGTCCCGTTTCGATTCGATACTGTGCATCATGGCGCGGCCGATACGATTCGATCGATCCGGTTCGATGTCGAGATCACCTGGCTCGATTCGATTTCCATTTCTTGGCGATCCGAGGCTGCCAGTCGCTTGCATGGCGATGTTGCGCATCCTGCCGCAGCCGATCCGAATCGACTTGAACTCCGTACCGAATCAGCTGGATGCGACGCATTCTCCGATTCGATCCGATGTCTTGTTTCGCCATGAGCGTTCAACTAGCCCTCGAACCTACATGTTATCCAGGCCATTCTGCTAACCTAATGTCCAGAACTCCGCCAGCACTGTCAGTGCGATATGTCGGATGGGGGCCCCCGCTCGAATTTGAGCCCTCCCTACCTCGGCGCCGACACCTCCTTGACCTTTCACCGACCTTTTAGAACGCGTGAAAGAGCGCTTTCTGCTGCTACTGGCAATCCCACTCCCCAGTTTGAACCGGTGGGGGGGGGTAAAGCAGCCTCCCACTCAGAACCAGGTGGGGAAGAGGGGGAGCGGGACCGCTTGTCGGACCAATCCCAACCGACTGGTACCAATTTCAACCGACCTGGCCATGCCTTAACCGGCTCAACCGGCTAACAAAACCAATTGGTACCAAGTACAATCGGCCATCTCTGGCCTCCAACAGGATTCTGTTGTAAAGAATTGAATGACGATCCAGACATCACAAGAACGTCTTCAGGGTACACATTCATTCTGTGAGTCCACATGATCGCGCCAGTCGAAATTGGTACCAACTTGTTCCTGGGATCTGTGAGCTGTGTCGTTTTGCAACAACAGTTCGTAACAACACTGATCATTCAAAACAGCAACATATACCCAAAACAGCAGCAGTTATTCACAACACATACCTGCACACATTTTCACCATAACACATGTCGAAAGACCGATGTATCATCCTCGTTGTCAGCGGCCGTTCCTTCCTTCCTCCTTTCCTGCCTTTTCCCTCCTCCTCTTCCTCCTGCAGGAGTCTCCATTTTTTGTGGCCAGATATCATTCGGACATCCTTTCGGAGATCCACCAGCAATCCTTTAGAAATCCTTCCGACATCCTCTAGCAATCTTCCAGACACTGCCAAGACAAATCCTTGAAGTTTATCTTTGGAGCCTCTAAGGAACTTCTAAGCAGGTTCTAAGGAGCTCCTCAGGAACCTGTACGGAGCCTCTAACAGCTGTTTTAGAGCTGTTAAGAAGTTTATACTGTGATTGTAAGCAGCTGCTAAGGAGCCTGTAAGGAGCTTCTAAGAGCGTTGAGGGAACTGCGACGGAGCCTTCCAGGAGCTTCTCATGAGCTTCTAAGGAGCCTCTAACGACCTTCTAAGGAGCGTCTAAGTAGCTTCTAAGGAGCCTCGAAGGAGTTTTCTATGGAGCCCCGAATAAACGAATAAGGAGCCCTCAAGGAGCTGAGGAGCCTCCAGGGACCGTCTAGGGAGCTGCTACGAGAAGCTTCTAATGAGTTCATTAGGAGCTTATACTCAGGAATCTCTAAGGTGGAACCTCTAAGGAGCCCTGAGGAAACTCTCTTTAGCACTTTACAAAGCTTGAACAGCGGTTGTAATTGGTACTGGTTGGTTGGGATTGGGACTGACATGGTTGGAATACGTTCTAGTTGGTCGTCTGCCTTCCATTTTCGGGTTGGACCCCCCCCCGTTTTTTGGGTTGGACCCCCCCAGGGCGATTCCATCACAGCTGGATCCAGCCCTCGTAACATGTCATTAGAGATGGATGCCGCATTTTGTAGGTTTCTGTAAAGCTGGAGCGATCCTCGTAGGGCTGATTTAGGGATGGACCGAGCTCGAAATGAATTCGATTGGAGCCATATCCAGGCCATGGTGGGGTCATGCTAGAGTTGGACCGATCGCTGTTAGGAATTCTACTTGACTGCGTCCATACCATAGTAGGAGCCGATCAAGGTAACATCGAACCCTCGTAGCATTCTATTAGAGCTGGATGAAGCACCAGTGGCAGGATTCGACTCGAGCTCGAGCCGCTGTAGCACCCCATCAGAGAGAGCTGGATCCAGCCCTCGTAGGATTCTACTACTCTCGCATTCTTGGGTTCTTTCGGAGTTTGATCGAGCCCAGATCCAGATCTCATGGTCTGCACCCCCCTCTGTTTCTGGGGAGGGGGTGGGGCTCCCTCCCCCCGTTCCCAGGAAGGGGGGGAGTAGTGGTCGCGATCCTTCGAACGCGCTGATGCCACTCTTCAAGGCTGTCTAGCCCTAGGGTGGAGTTCGGAGCCGAAACGATCGAACATCGCCGTTGGATGAGGAGTTTGCAATACCATGCGATACAGGTTTGAGTGCATGCTGCTGTTTGACCATATTGGTGCTGGCTGATTCTAGAAGCCGTCATTCGGCCCCTGATCGATCAGGGGTGTTGGGAGAGTGGGGTGCGCGGTCAACCGCAGTACCAATGGAACTGCGGACTAAGCACCAAGCGTCGGGGCAAAACGGAGGAAGTGACACGCCGGTATGCTCTCAACAGCGGTGTGCCCCATCGGCACCCTTCCTTCCGGAGAAAGCTGCATACACATAATTTCTTGGATCGGCGCTGGAACGCTGGCGGCGCTGCGCGCCAGGGACAGGGGCCCAGCGCCGCTCCAAGAAATCCTCGCGGACCTTCGAGAAGGAAGGCTCACCGAGAAGTTGGGCTTGCGTCGTCCCTTGTGCTGCCATGCTCCCTCCTGCCCCCTCAAGAGAGCGAGGGCCCGCCGCCCGCGCGGGGAGGGGGCGGGAGGCAAGGGCACAGCGGACGGACGCAGACGGGGGAGAGGCGGGAGCGACGAGGCCCACACGCCTCCTCTGGCACGCCGCTGTCCTCCCCCAACGGCGGCGTGCGCCACTCGGCACTCGCTCTCGAGAGGCCCCCCGCTGCCGCGAGAGAGCCCCCCCCCCCCGACCGCGCGGGGGCGGGCGCGCCGCGCGAGGCCCTTCGGGCCGCGGGCGTGGCGCGCCTGGCTGCGCCTGCGGCCGTCCCCCGGGGGGGGGGGGCGGCACGCCGCTGCTCTCGCCGTTGCCACGGCCACCGCCCTCGCCGGTCGTCGCCCTCGTCGTCGTCGCCGCCGTTGCCGCCGCCGCCGGCGTCCTCGCTCTCGCCCGCGCCGTCTCTCTCGCCGTCGCCGGCGCCGTCGTCATCCTCCTCCTCCCGCCTCCTCCCCTCCTCCCCTCTTCCCTTCTTGTCGTCCTTCCTCTTCCCCGTCCTCGTCCCTCCTTCCTGCTGTCCCCCCTTCTTACTGCGGGTAGGAGCATCAACATCATACTCCGATTGAAGCTGCCACCCTTCACAGCGCGGTGAGATTGTAAGGAATACGCTTACGAGCGTGAGACATTCAACTGATAACGTACACTTGTTTCGGGCGAAAGCGCGAACACCTCAATTGCAACGGTTCCCACTCTTCCCACTCCATTTAATTTATCTTGGTTCCTCCTTCTCCTCCCCCCTCCCCCTCCCCCCTCTCCCTCAATCGTTAACGCCTCGCGTGCTCCCACAAGCCAATGCAGAATCGATCCTCGGGCGACGCTGTCTTGACCAAGCAGGGGTATCGGGCAGAAGTTGGCGCAAAGCGTAAACTCGAAGACTCCAACTATCGACAAAGCGATGTGCGACTTCACGTCTCCTCCACTTTCTCCCCCTTCCCCCCCCTCCTTCTCCTCCTTTTCCTCGTTGTCGTCCTCCTTGCCATCCCATCTCGCTTGCCTTCCTCCCTCCTGTGCTTTCACACGCTTACTTTTGTCAGACTCTCCCTGCAGGCTGGGGGTCGCAGCCGCGGAGCTCCCCTCCGAGGAGGACAGACGGGCGGATGCAAGCACCCGCGCTCGGACGCTGGCAGCCAGCAACACGCAGGGAGAAGCCTTGTGCCGGAGTGGTGTTTGGTGCGGGGGTCGGGCGGCCCTTTTGGGCCCTTTTGGGCCGCGTCTGGGCCGCTTTTGGGCCCCTGCCAGTTCCAAAAGCGGCCCTGAAGGGCCCCCGTCGGAGCCTTCGCTTCACCCCGCATGTAGGTCACCCCTCACAGCCGCTTTAGGGTCTCTCACGGCCCCTGTTGGGCCCCTGCTGGCTCCAAAAGCGACCCTGTAAGGCCCCCTCGTGGCCGTTCCTTCACCCCCCCAATGTGGGTCCCCCCCCCCCGGACACGCCGGCCGCATGCAAGCCGCGTCGAGGCCAGACCCGGACACGCCGGCCGCATGCAAGCCGGGTGGCGGTGCCTCGAAAACCGCGCGCCGTGCGCGCCAGAGGCCGCTCTCTGCGTCAGAGGTCTCTCCTGGCGTTGCAGGGGGCTCCTCTTCGCCAGAGGCCTCGCATGGCGCACGGCGGAGGGAGGCTCCCTGCAGAGGGGTCCCGCGCGGCTGTGGCACTGGCCGTGCTTGCTGACCTGCTCAGAAGAGGAAACGGTGCACCCATGTTGCAACCCTTCGCCCGTGTTCCAGGCCCTCGTCGCCACGGCTGGATTCGCCACGAGATTTTTGTCATAATGCACGTCGGCAGAAGTCTGGGGAGTAGCGGTCTCGGTACCTGGTGGTTTCCCATCTACACCAGCTTTGCGCCGCGTCGACGCGGCGGGGAAGGGGTCGAGAGCTTAGGGACCCGCGGATCGGAAACTAAAAACGTCGGAGGTAGTGGAGCGTCCAGAATAGACGCGCTTCGCGGTTTGGGCTAGACGGGTGCCCTCCTCCATGAGGACCGCGCGAGAGCGTGAAAATAGGCGTGATTCGCGCTTCGCGCGTCGCGGAGCGGCTGCAGCGGCCAGTCTCTTTGTCAGGGCGATGTTCATCGAAGGCTGTTACCCGTACACCTTGCCATATGAGCCGGTTTGCAAGTTTGTTGGTGAAGGCGTTGCGCGTGGCGCTTGCGCATTTGCCCCCTGTTCGGGGTCTTCTTCGTCTCGCGGAGGCGCCTTGGGGACATCACTGAGCTCATGGAAGTGACAAGCGCGGGGATTGTATGTCAACTTCTGTGTTGTCTTTTACGGGTTTGGGCATTCTGTCTAGCATGTAGTGGCTTTTGGCCCATTCCGCCACCGTGTTTGGCTTGTGGGTATGAAGCCCATTGGATGTTCGTTGGGATCTCTTGGGTGGCCTTTCGGGGGCCTCTTGGAGGTAGTTTGGAGGCCTCTCTGGGGCCTCTTGAAGCCTCGTGGGGGCCTCTCGGGGGCCTCCTGGGACATCCTTGGCGCCTCTTGGGGCCTCTTGGGGTGGAACGCTCGGATTTTCAGTTCGTGTTCTCTCTGTTGAGCCTCTTTTGGGGTAGTCTTGGGGCCCTCTTGGGCCGTTTTGGGCGCCGCTTGGGCTGTCTTGCGGCGCGTGCTCTCAGGCCATCGGGGGTCCCCCTTGGCTTCTTGGGGCGTCTTGGAGCGTCGGAAAGCCGAAAAGGCAAGATTGCCAAATCCTTCACAGACATAAAACAAAATTAAAGGTCTGTGCCTCTCGAGGCCCTCTTGGGGGGCCTCTTGGAGGCTTCTCGGGCCATCCTGAGGCTGTCTTGGGCGCCTTGGGCCGACCGCTCGGCGATTCGGGGCCCCTCGGACTGTCTGGGGAGCCTCTTGGCGCCCTCTTGGCCCATCTTGGGGCCGTCTTGGGCCCGAAAGTGTCATGCGACAAGACTTCCCGCAGCCCAGGGGACACGCGGGAAGCCCCAGGGGGGCACGCGGGAAGGCCCAAGGGACTGGGGAATTTGGGCTAGTGAGGTTTGAGGCTTAGAGGATTACGCCAAGGGCCCGAGGACATACCCACTCCGTGCCCACAGGCACGGTGGTGGATCATGAATAGATAGTTGTCACTCAATGCCAGAATTTGCAGTTGGTTGTTCAAAGTACTGTAGCCGGATCGCATCAAGTTGTGTTTTCCGTGGCGACGCAACAGAGCAACACTTCAAGGTCAAGCTGAGTCCGACCGGGGACAAGCACTTGGCATGCTCAACACAATCTTGCAGGCCAGTTGCAGCCCTGGACAGGCTGAAACCGAGTTTAGCACAGTCGCATGTTACAGCCTTGCTCGTTGCGCTTTTCCTGAATTGCGTTGCCACGTGTTCACTTGCTGTGCAAAGCGGTGGAGAGCCTTGCGTTGCGTGTTTTGCGCCGCATTTGCGTTGCGTGTTTTGCGTACTTTGGGGTGATGGTTGACAGCACCTTGGTCTGCAATGCAGTCACTCTACATCGCTTTGCATGTCATTGCATTGCGTTGCTTTGGATTCGCAGCTTTGGATTCGCAGCTTGACTTGGTTACGCGGATTGCGTTGACGAACTTGCTTTGCAGCACAGTTGTGTTCTTTGCACCGCTTGGCGTCGAGATGTATTGCGCACTCAGTGCGCTGATCTTGCGTGGGAAGTCTTTGCGTTTTCTCTCGAATGGAGGTTCCCGAGACCCAGAGAGGACATCCCCAAAAACGCGATGGGTCATCCTCGAGGAATTCGGCCTGGTGCCCAGTGTCGCCGCCGGTCATCTTGCGCACTGAGCTGGCTTCGTCCAGGCAAAGCCCAATTGAGGAATAGCTTGCGCGGCCCGTCCAGTCCAAGAACCAGACGGGAAAGAGTGAGTCGTGCCGCCATGCAGCTTGTAGTAGCCTGACAGGGCTCCAGGGTGGCGGCTCTCCGATGCCAATGTTGGGCCTCTGAGGAGTCTCTTCGGATGCTCCTGTGAGCTTGACAAGTCATTGCCTGGGCCTCTCCGTAGTTTTGGAGGCCCTCCTCGGTGGGCTTTGCGTTGCAGTGTTGTTACCGTAAGGTTTTCCCAATGGAGTATTCGGTGAAAGTCTCGTCCGATGGCGATTGCCAAACGGAGCTCCGCATCAACGTGGGACCGAATTGTGGTAGACAGCGCCGCGACATCCTATCTATGTTGCCGAATTTTCCACCGCGTCCGCTAGGTTGCGATATTGTTCGATGTTGCGCCAAGCAGTCAGTCCCCAGGACGGCCCTGGCGATCTGCGACTCGTTGTTCGAATTGCTTGCTCGGACAAGTTGACTGCGCAACATGTGGCATGATCGCACTGCTATCAACGCGCCCTATCTCTACTGTCTCCAAGGCACTCTTTGACACCGTGTTGGTTGTTTCGGGATGGCCCATGAAAAGCAGCTCCCGTTCGAGGCGGCACGGGCTCGTGCCACGCCTGGCCCCCGCCAGGCGCGCAGAGGTGGCCCCTCGGCGAGCTACCCCCCGAAATCCGAGGTCCTGATCTGTTCAGCGCGCGGCCCCCCAGAAGACCCGACCAGTGCCACCGAGGGCGAGCCCTTCATCCCGAGATTCGGCGGCGAGCCCGCGGGGGAAGCGAGAGGGGGTGGGCCCCCTCAGAAGGCTCGGAGGGCCTCGGGCCTTCGAGAAGTTGTCGGAGCCTTCCCCGGAGACAGAAGATCTCGCAGAAGCCCTGGAGGGCTTCTGAGAAGCCCGCTGCTGAGAAGGCGTCCTCACTTCCTCCCCCCCCCGCTCGCCGCCCAGAGATGTTTGCTGACGGCCGTCCCGGGGCTTCGCGAGGGCCCCCGAAGGCCGAAAACAGGGCGAACAACAGCGTTGCTTTTGCTCCGAGGCGTTGTATGGCTGGGTCTCTCTTGGGGTGCAGGGGTTTCAGCTGCCACAGGAGGCCTTGAGGTTGCTGCGGGGCCTCGCCAGAACCGGGCGCCCGAGCGGGCGCTCGAAGGTCGCTGCCGCCGCAGTGGCGGAGCACGCCGGCATTGCTACGGCCGCGTGGAGGTCGTCGGGCACCCGCTACATTGATCCCGAGTCTACCGCAGACGTGTCCAACATCCGCGGCTTCGCCTGCGGCAGGATCAGCGACTCGTCACGGCGAGTCAGCTGGCACGAGTATGGCACGCTCTATCGCGTGTCCCGGGCGGCGGCGGCATCGAAGGGCAAGGAGGCGTTCAAGGTAACGTCCACGAGTTGCTTCAAGCGCGTCGGCTGCTCCGTTATCAGGAAGAATTTGCCCGTGATGGTTGGCGGGAGTAAGACAGAATTCAAGGGTTCCGTTGTGTTCGAGCCGTGTCGCCATGGATTGAAGTTGGAGCCTGAATGGACCTTGATTTACCTGCACAGTTTCAGCTGCAAGGGCTCGGACTACCTGCACTTCCCCAACTACTTCGGCATCGGCGACGCCGCAGTCCGGGTGGTGGTGCCCACGGCGCCACTGCTCGAGCAGTCCTGCTTCAAGGACTGGAACGTGTGGCGCGGAGAGCGCATCGGCTGGCGGCCCATCCAGTTCCGCGCGTGGTTCGACTACCTCACGGACAGGGCCGGCAGCGCGGAGAACGACCTGGAGCTGGGCAGCCTCCTGGAGATGCGCGCCAGGCTCCACGCGCTGATCCAGCAGGAGGCGGCCCGCCACGGCGGCGACAGCAGGCGCGTCATCCTCGGCGGGGCGTCGCAGGGATGCTGCGTGGCGCTGGACGCCGCGATGACATACCCGGGAGAGCTCGGCGGCGTTGTGGGGCTCTCGGGGGCCCCCAAAGGTGTCCACACCGTGTGGGGAGTCCATGGGGGTTCGGGGTCACCGCACAGTTTTGAGACTCAGGTCGTTGTCCGAGGAAGCCTCGGGCGACTGGGGCCCCCGAGGTGCCCAAACCCTGCGCTGCCGGACCGTGCGGTGAGGCTTGTCTGGTGATTTTCGAGTCAACGCGCGGTCTGTCACCGCATCGTTCTCGGCCTCCCGAGGCTCGTGGGGCATCTCCTCGGGTGCACCCCGCTGGACATGTCGAAGCGGGCCATGCCGATCCACCTTTTCCACGAGGCTTATGGTGGACGAACAACGAAGTGTAGATTCTGATAGGTTCGCGTCGTGTCGACCGGCGACGACCCCGCCGCCTGCGTTCAACATTGAACGCCGCTGGTGGCGCAGAATCGGTCGATGCTGAACGATTTGGTCTTGCGGGAGCGGCCGATCGCTCAAGGTGGAATGATCACCGCGGTGTCAGGAACCAACGCCGGGGTCGACACGACACGGACCCGCGGTAAGCTTTTCCGCCGTCGGGGCGCCTGGCCCGGGCGGCTGGAGAGGTCAAGCTATACCGCTTGTCGCCCATGACGAGGCAACCGACAAGGAGATGCGGTGGAGCTGGGTGAAGGCGGAAGCGGGGACGAAGGCATGTGGCCCACATCGCCCCCGAGGGCGCGACCATGACCGCGCTTCTCGCCGCGCCGGTCCGGGCTGGGTGGGCTGTCCTTTTCCTCGGGCCGGCTGGGTACCAATGGCACGCCTCCGTTGGCAGCCCATCAGCGGGCTATTGTCCGGAAGCCTTGTGGCTCTTTAAAGGTAGCGCGCTGATGGATTCCCTCCGGCGGGGTGTCATTGATAATGGTTGGTGATCCCCCATCTTCGACTAGACGTAAGAGTGACCTTTCGCATCTCACTCTTACCCAGGGTGACTCTTGCGTGTAGCCGACATCTCCAGGGGGCGGCGCCAGACCGAGAAGATGACCGCGCGTTGCGCTTCACGCTGCGCGCAGCTCCGAGCGCGAAGCCGGGTGGCCCAGCCAGGGGCCAGGGCAGGGTCCGCTTGGATCCGATCGATGAAGCTCGACATCGATTCCCGCGGGCTCGATTCGATGCGATTCCAATGTTCAGACCGTCCGATGCGGCCCGATGTTTGCCTGGCGTTGTTGTGCATCTTGGCGTAGCCGATCCCATTCGAGCTCGACTCCGTGCCTATGCAGCTCGATCCGAGGCGCGTTCTGGTTAGCTAGGATTTCCCGAGTCGGCACTGACTGATTCTGGCCCTTCTTCAGAGACAGTGGATGCTGCTCGAAGAGGTTGCACGCCCTTCCCCCACCCCGCGAGCAAGAGCGCCCCTATTTATCACTGAGGAGCTGACAGGCCCTCGCGGAATGCCGCGCCCTCCCCCCTCTCTGACCCCGCCTCCACTCTTCCCGCCGCCCGAGAGGGCACAGTGCAGAGACTGATCGACGCGGGCTTCGACGTCACCTCGAGGCGCGAGAAGGCATCGCTGGGGGTGGGGGGGCGGCGTCGAGCAGCGTCCGCTGAGGGGGGAGGAGGAGCAGCCGAAGGAGGAGGAGGAGGATGAAGAGGAGAGAGCAATCTTGGAGGCCGGGGGTAAGGATGTCCAAACCTCGCGTGCAACCTGCATGTTGCCGACACTCAAAGACCTTGCAGGCCACTGTTTTTTTTGCGTGCCCCTTCGCATCTCATGTTCTCATCGGTTTACTGCAGCTGACACTATAATACTGTCCCTGCTCGGCAAGTTGCATTGCAGTGCGATTGCGCTCTGCGTTTCATTGCACTGCGAGTGCGCCCTGCACTCTCTTAATGCACTCGCATCGACCGACACAGTGGCGCTTTTATTCGCAAATGCCGGGATACATAAGAAAAGGACGTCGTAAGGATAATTAATGAACGGTCCGCATGCGTGACGCCAGCAACGCCATTGGAGTTACCATACGCCTGATCATGTGATCGGCATCGGAATCACTAACACCATCATCAGCATTAGCGCGAGCGCCAGCGCGATGACGAGAGTGTCCAGGTGTCACGCATCATATTCCATCAGCTGCTCTAGCAGTCATGTGAAAGCTCCTGCCCCAGGGCATGAAAAGGCGCTGGGGAATGACAACTATGCTGTTGCCTGTGGCCTGGAATACGACCGATAATCTATGCTTGGCCCCGAGAGTGGTCTCGGTCGTCTCCGTGTATTCGAGGAGGTGGAGAATTGTTCTGGACAATCGTTCCCCCGTTGCCCGATGGCCACTCCACTTTTGCACTGGCCTGTCGATGCTTACGCATTGCAGCCTCTCTGTACTGTACGAGCGCGTCCGCAGCGCTGGTTGCAGAGGCTGCGATGCCTCTCGTCGATCTTTACCAACGGGACCGGCGGGGTGAATTCCCTTGTTCGCCGACCAGGTTGTGTTGTCACGTTGCCCTTCTTGCTGCCAGCGTGAGCCAGCAGGCAACATCAGTGGCGTGTGGTGCCAGCCCGCTGCGCCACGTGCGCGGCCTGAACCCGAGCTGTGCCGTACGAGTACGCACCCCTAGATCATTGCATCAAGTTTGGGGCGTTGCCCATTCAGCCGACGGTTATTCTCAGGAGGTGGTGGGACTGGGCAAGCTTGATGCGGCTAGCGAGAACATAGTTGCACGAAGGCGCGGTGTGTGTGCGCTCGGGTCCGGGGCGGAAAGCTCTGCAGAGCGTAGTGTGCCACGCTTTGCTTCGTTTTGGCCGCCTGGAGCAAGCTGGGGAATACATACATATATATATATATATACACATAGTGTATAGAGCAAGCAGCACAACGGTGGGGCACGAGCCATTTCATCGATTCTGCCACCAGTCGTGCACAACAGCACAGGCCGTTCTTTTACATATTTCTTTCGTTCTCTCGCTCCTGCGCCTACGTTGTTGCGTCATGGCGGGGTGTGCACTGCAAGCTTGTTAACCCTTTAAGCAGTTGTAATGGTCAAGCCCGCGAAAACAATTGGAATGAAATTCGGATGGCACTCGAACGCCTCCGCTGCAACCCTATATGAAGCGTACTTCCCACCCGCTGCGAGCCCAGCCTCTTATGACAGTCCAGTTGCGTCCTGGTGACGTTTGGCCTTTCAAACAGCGCTTAGTGAACGCAGACGCTTTGAAGGCTGCTTAACTTCGGCTCAGCTCCCCGAGGATACCATAAGAGCCTCTTGAAGCGCCAGGACGCCCATGTTTTACCTGCGAGCGGGGTCTGATGGAGTTTCGAGCTCACCGCCTCGATTAATGAGTCTCTGGTTTCCTTTCTGGTCTATGGCCATACCCTAGGCTGTCCTGTTCAAGTCTGGAACTGGCACTCTGGTGCATGCGCCGTCTGCGCCCGCAAGACCTCCAACGTCGTGAAATGTCCCACCATACGATCATACGGGGACTCAGCCGCGGAGACCTCCGTGTGGGAGCGGGGAGCTTGCAAGCTGGTCCTTGGGCGCTAAAGGCCTGGAGGCAGAACAGGGTACGAGGAGGATTAAGGCGGAGCAGAAGGCAAGGCTTAATCTTTCTTTTCCAGTACCGAGGCGGCGCCAGAGAGCAGCAGCAATATTGCCTGAAAGAAGGGAGCAGGCGTTGGAACGTGAGAAGAAGAAGAATAATAATAAGAAGAGGAATAAGAATAAGAAAAAGAAGAAGGGAAGAGGGCGATGCGCAGCCGAAGACGAGCGCGCGTACGCCCCTGGGGATCCGCGCACAGGCGCGCGATAGTCGACCTGGAGGCATATCAGGTTCACCACGAGATGTTCAGGCAGTTTAGTGATGTTGAGGAGCAGCCATGCCATGTTGAGGAGCAGCCATGCCACATCCTAATTTCTAATTGCATTCCAGTGCGCGGGTCCTGGAGCTCTCGCCCCCTTCCCCAGACCAGTTGTTCATTCCCGATTCGTTCCTCTACAGCCCTGGGTCCAGAAACAAATGCCCCCAGAGCCCGACGATAGCGAGACACCTACTCCGTCCTACTTACTTCAAGACGTTGTAGGGCTGAAGGCAGCAGCAGGAGCAGCAAGAGGCGAAGCAGCAGCATGAGGAGCTATATTATTTCACGGTGACGACTGTCTGGAGCTGCCCCCCCCCTCCCGCCCCCAGGAGGGAACGGGGTCGGGCCACTGGATCCAGGACGCCGAGGGCGAGGGCCAAATCCCTCCTCGAGCTCGACGTCCTCCCTCTCCAGCTCCTCCCCCCTCCCTCGTCCTCTTCGTCCTCCTCTTCCTCCTCCTCCTCCTCCTCCTGACCGTGCTCGTAGGTTGGACGACCTCAAGGCGTATATGCAGAGGACGGCCCGCGGATACAGATACATCTTTGAGTGCGCTGGCTGTGCTGACTCTGTGTCGCACTACCTCCTCGAGTGTAGGTCTCTGGAGGCCCTTGTTCGCAACGCGCTTTCTCGAGATGTGCCTGCCGATACGTTTCGTCGCCTTGGACCTGTCGCGGGAGATTGGTATACGTTGAGTTTTGTAGCCGCCTCTTTCTATGCGCACCGTCTGTCCGCGCAGTTCGGTAGTGCCGTTCGGGCATGGCATGCTCGACCTCCTCCTCCTCAGCTCACTGCGCCGCACTTTGACACATGCATGTGCCTACTCTGCCGGACCATCAGATAGGTAAGACGATCACCAGCAGTCTGGCGTCAGGCGCAATGCATCAGGCTGCCAAAGCACAACGACAACGCCAACACAGCGGGCGAGTTGCCGATCATGGTATGTTGTGGATTTGGCAGATCATAGTACATATCGGTAGTGGACACAAAAACTGCTTTCCCAAATTTGGATTCATGGAGGCATCGCGGGACGCAGGAGGGAGGACGCAACGCTGGTACAACTGTGTGGATCTTCGCGATTCCGCCGTGCAGGGATACATCACATCACCAGGTGTCATGATGCCAGCAATGCGTTCTACTGCGTTCGCAAAGCACACGCTGAAGACGCTGCTGATGTAATAGCACGAGAGCAACGTGAACAAATGTTTGACGGACGTATCCAGAACAGCATTTCTACGATTGATGATGGCGTTTGCAGTGGACACCTGGCGAGCCAGAGAAGCGTGCTACTTGGCGGTCATGCTGCAACCATGCTCTTCGTCAAAGCCTTCGGCAGAGGAGTCCAGAGCATGATTGACACCATGAGCACGGATCCGTGGCAACAGGCTCTACACATGCGATTGCCAGTCCCCTTGCGAGCAACGCGCGATGACTCCGCCACGGACCTTGCCACGTCTATCCCCGTAGATGGTATCGCCAAGATCATGAGCGCAAACATCCAACACCTGTCCGACGTCGCGGACTGGGAGAACATCGTCATCGATCCAGTCCTTCATGACACCGGAGGGTCCCAGAACGCAGTCAAGCAAATTAACACAGTCCAAGGGGCAGGGCCTACCGTGGGAGTGCTCATCAGAAGTTGTCGTGAGCAACGGGCTTCCCTGAAGGGCCAGGTTCTCTCGGAGGCCGGCCTCGCACGAGATGGGCAAGTGCTGGACCAGCGTCAAGATCTCCATGAGGTTCAAAGGGATTGTCATCTCGGGGCTCATACTGAACGCGGCGCCCTCGGGGCTCGAGACTTTCGTGCTCAACATGAAGATCCCCGTCACGAAGAGATCCTTGGAGCCCCTTCGACAAACAGGTCGTCTACAAATATGCCACGGTAGCACTACGAGGAAGGCACACAACCAAACAGACCGATAGGATCAGGGCGTCATCGAATCAGGCGGCGAGGAGACACCTCAAGGTCGGAACGTTGTTCACGGAGTTGGGCATTTGGAGGCTGAAATGGTTGCAGGACGTGGATGTGCACCAGAGGGGTCATGAACAGGGGATTGCAGCATTTGGCGGCAGAGCGAGATGTGAAACGCAACATCTGGTGGACATCGGTGAGTTAGGGCAGGCCCTTCCAACGGCCAACCCTTGGCTGCAGCTGTTTTGGCAGGACGTTCAGGCGTCAAAGGGGACTTCCGAGGGCCCCGAGCTGCTCGAGCTCATGCGGAACAACTGCGTGAGCTTATTCCAGGAAGATGCTCGAAGGATTCTGTGCAGCATCGACGTAGCCGAAATGAGAACTACTGGGCTTGCGTGTGTGATTCCCCCTCCTGTGGACCTGGGTGGTGTTCGGGTTTTCCCCCTCTGCAGGAAGATAAAGCTTAAGAGCCTGTTTTCTGCCCAGTTTGCGAGGAAGAGTTCCCCGACAAGAGAAGCATGATTGCACACTGCATGAGAGTTTGTGCGCGAGGGCCTGAGGATACAGCGCAGGTCGTTAAGCAGATACGTGCCACGGACAGGATCCCTCACATCGCCACGCTCTCGAACTACTGCGTATTGTGTAACAGTAGCTTTTCAGATCGCGCCACCGCCCATTGACACCTTTCAGCATCAATGTTTCACAAATGGTGTGTCTCGGATTTCTGGGTCGAGGGGCCTGCAAAGACAGGCCCACATTACAACGCAGTTTCCTTATTGTTTTTTGGTTGTTCAGGCTCATGGTCATTTACACCAGCATTTAGCTACAACGCACCATGTTGCCAAGTGTCGCGAATCACACCATCATTCTTGATATCTCAGGGGCTCAGCGCAGCGCAGACGGAGGCAGGCGAGCGCCAGCAGCCATCCAAGAAGGCCAAGGGCGGTGGCACAGGACTTGGTCAGTCCACCAAGCTGCTGCTACAGCTCGAGTCCAGGATGAGGGGGAGGGAGGCCAGCGACAACAACTACACAGGCCCAACAGGCCACCCTCTGTTTTTTGGGCGATCAAGACGGCGACGACCAACTATGAGAGGCAGGTCAAGAAGGCGGGAGCGGGCCACACGTTCGGATCTTGCCATCTGCGCGCGCAGGAGGAGCACTGCTGACATCACTCGCGGGAACCAGCGTGGACGGCAAGAGCGAAGACATACAGTGCATCTTCGCCGCCTTACGACGATTGAGCGAGGCTCGGGAGGCGGCCACGCCCGCGGAGTTCGAGGGCTGGTGCATCACATGCCGCGCCAGCGAAAAGCAGCAAAATCATGGAGTAGCTCCATTTGCCCGATTCTCCTGCAATTTCGACGGCTGCTGGCCCGTGGGTGTCAATCTCGCGCAGGAGGCGGCAAGCTCGGAAGCGAAGCACCATCCAGGGACAATCAGCAGGACCTCGATCTTCACATGGGTCAAGGTCAACCAGCTCATAGGCCATTGCCTGCGTGCGGCAGGGATCCAGAAACTGCGTGGTAAGGCGCCGATCGGGGGGCTCGCGTATGGCATCATAAGCAAGCACTAAGCCGTGAGCAGCATGAGTCAACCAATAAAAAGAGAAATTCTAATCAGGAGTCTGTCCGAGAGCTAAACAGTACTGCAGTCAGCCACCAGAAGCCTTCCCCAGGGACTTCCATCGTCTCGTCCCTCGTCGGAGCCTCCGTCACTTGGCTCGGACCCTCCTCCATCGCTTCGGTACCGAAGGTCTCTGAGCACCCGTCCCTGGCAGGATGCTGCACGCGCACATGCAGCAGCAACAGGCCCAGTGCTCCCAAAACTGTAGAAGGCCCTTGGTATTGAAAGCCAGGTTCTGGGGTGCCCACGACTTGCTCAGGTAGTTTATCTCCGGCACCGATGCAGATGCGACACCGCCTCCTCCTCCTCCTCCCCCTCATCATCCTCATCCTCATCCTCATCCTCATCCTCTTGTTTATCCTCCTCCTCCTCATCCTCAACCTCATCATCCTCCTCCTCTTCCTCTTCTCCTCCTTCTCCTCCTGCTCTTCCTACTCTCATATATCCTCATCACCTTCCCTCCATTCTCGTTTCTCCTGAGCCGTGTGCCCAGGTGGGCGACGCACACGGGACCGACAGGGCGGAACTCCACCCGCAGGGTTGCGCCTGCAGAGCGGGACCCGACGAGGGTGACCAGGCGAGGTGGCCAGAGGTGTCGGTCGAGCTTTGCGCTGACAATTGCACGGGCGCCTCGAGGCCGAGGAGGAACGGCGGACACGGATCGCAGCGCCAGAGCGCACCGCCGTGGCAGAGGGGGCGCGCAGCACGTCCGAGGTTGTGGGCCGTCACGCCCTCGTGGCCTCGCGAAACGGCACGCCCTCGCGGCCGCGGTGAGATTGTGCCTGGCAAAGTGAGGTGGTGATTTCCAGGCACGGCTATGGCTGCAGAGCGCAATGCCTTAACCGCGCCGGGTAAATGCAGGATCTGGTTGGTTTCCACACCCTGGGCGGTCTCGGTCGTTCCTAGAAAACCCAATCCTTCCTCCTTTCGCTTCGTCTCAAGCTCCTGCTGCTGCTTCTTCTTCTCCTCCTCCTCAGGTAAGCCACACTCCCATTTATACAAGCTCCACATGCCCTTCTCTTGCCAACTCCACTTCAACCAGTCCCGCGGGCACCACAGCATTCACCAGATAGCGTAGCACTTTCCAGCAGCAGGTTCTAGGCGCACCACAATATGTATCATGCGTCTTGCCTCCTCCACCCCTCCAGCCCAGCCTCCGCCAGCCTCACCGGTAACACATCTTCTACCTCTAGGTAGGGAGGCCGCGTCGAACTGCGAGGGGTATGTGAATCCCGTGTAGTTCATCTGGGAGCGTGCCCTCCCCCCTCCGCCAGCGCCTCACTGGTAGCACAGATTCTGCCTCCAGGAGGCCGTGTCGGAATGCGCGGGCTTTGCGAAACCCGTGGTGTTGCGGAGGCCTTACGGCCAGTGCCGCTGACCCTGAAGGGGGACGACGACGATGACGACGCTGACGTGGGTCAGAGTCCACAGGGATGCTTATTGGGATCTCTTCGGAGCGCTCTCTTGAGGCGTCTGGGGGGGCAGTTTGGGGGCCTCTTGGGAGCATATTGGGGGCCTCTTGGGAGCCTCTGTGGGGCCTCTGGGGCTTCCTGGGGGCCTATTAGGGTCTCTTGGAGGCCTTTGGGGGGTCTGTTGGATACTCGAAATGTCCGTTCGGGTCCCCTGGAGCCGTCTTATGGGCCGTCTTGGGGCACTCTTGGTTTGTTTTGGGGCCCTATTGGAGGCCTCCAGGGCCGTCTTGCGGCGATCTCGGGAGCCTCTGGGGCAGTCTTGGAGCTTGGGGAAGCCAAACAAGCGAGAACACCAACACCTGTCAAACCCAAGGGGCAAGTCATTGTATTTCGCCTCTTGGCGTACTCTTGGG